TTTTACCCACCTCGGAAGGATGGAAGGCTGAGTCAACCCTGAGCCGGTGAGATTTGAACCCCCGAACTGCAGATAACAGTCAGCTGAAGTGGCTGCAGTACAGCACTCTAACCACTGTGCCACCTTGGCTCCTATTAGCACGATGTAGACTTGGGCTCCAGCTCAAGTCTTGAAAGCTCAGAAGACTAAATCCACTGACCCAGATTGGGTCCTCCAACATTATACATGTTGGATCCTGCAACACGTATATTGGCCTTCATTCCATAAGGCCATTTTGTTGGTACCAAGTATTGAAGAAGCCTCTAACGCTGTGAATCTCCTTTGTTTCTTTCCCCAGAATCCACCTCAACGACCTGGAGAACATTATTCCATTTCTGTTTGCTGGGTTCTTCTACTCTTTTAGTGGCGTGTCGCTCTCTACCGCTTTGCTGCACTACCGAATCTTTCTTGGTTCTAGGATCTTCCACACCATTGCTTACCTGGTACCTCTTCCCCAGCCCAGTAGAGGGTTGGCTTGGATGGCTGGTTACTTGGTCACCTTTTCAATGATGTACAAGGTTATAATGATTGCTTTCACTGTGTCTTAGAAAAGAAAGCTAAGTTGTACTTCGGGGAAGTGCCTTATCCAACCAATAGAAGAGAATGTATTGAGCTCCGGGTTGACCTGTGGAGTCCTTGGTGCTCTCTGGACTTGCTTGTTTGCTTGCAAATGTTACATGACCCAACTAGGTAACGCTATCAGTGCTAGTGAGGGTGGAGTCTGCTCCCCGTGCTGCTTCTGGTGGGAGTGGTTTTCTCCTTGGTGCTTTCTTGATTCAAGGAATTATTCAAGGCCATGTAAACATGACAAATAAATAAGCCTGCCTGAATCAAGGAATTACCAAAGAGAAAAAGGACGGCCCCAGTAGCAGGACAAGCTACTGTATATGAATGGAGCAACCTCCCCACACTCGCTAGCATTGATAATGTTACCTAATTGGGTAATGAAACGCCTGCGAACAATCAAGCTGAACAAGCACCAAGGACTCCACCATTAATTCTTCCTCAGAGAAACTCCTTCCTACCTGCCTCCCAACTTTCCAGCGCATACCTGTGCCTCCTGGGATGTTGGATCTCTCCACTGCCTTCTAGACCTGACACTTCTGGAGCTCATTTTGCCATTGTGTGCTGAAATTGATGTATGGAGGATCTTGTTTCCAAGGTCCCTGATCCTTCCTCTTAACGGAGCATCACCCAATGATAGCGCAAATGCTTTGTGTCCTAGGCACCACCTCTGTTAGCATAAAAAGTCACACATAAGGCAGCAGTTATATTCTCTGCCTCCCGTTCCTTCCTCTCACTCTCAATATGTCAGAAATTCAGAGTGAGTGATTAAATCTGAGGCCATTATATACACAAAACATTGGCCCTGCCACTGAGGTGATTTCTCTCCACGGTGTCGCCTTTTTTCAAAGTCACTGAAGCCGGTGGCCTCTTTATCCTCTGTCGTTCTCTTGTCTAGCGCTCGTGTTTTCTATTTTTCAAACAAGATTGCGATCCATGAACGTACATGGGGGCAGTTTTCTTTGCGAGTGTCAAATGTGGAAGACTGACAATAAAACAGTGTTCTCTAACTTGGGCCCATCATGATATGTTTGGGTCATTATCAGTAGTTCTGGCTTGGTAGTAACAAAAGTTGTAGGCCACATTTAGAGAGCTGGAAGCTGGAGAACACTATTACAAAAATGGCTTCCCTCTTTGCCCTTCCAGTTACATCAGTTTGGCGGCTGTTGACAAACAAACCCCCAAGGGGAGATTTCTAATTTGATCCACCAACTCTTCCTTGGATTTGCTTGCAAAACTTCCTTGTTTTCCGGAGGAAATCTCAGGATGAGCCAGGAATGGGTATTGCGATGTCCAATTGGCCTTGAGACAGAGTTAAACTGAAGCCACGTCTCTGCGCTCCTTGCTTCTGGCCCCCAGTTTTCAACTCTGTCTGGCCTAAGCGAGGCTGTTGCTTTTGGCTCATCACATCCAAAACTCAGTCCAGATTCATCCTGCTTCAAATTCCTCCCTGCCTTCTCTCACCTGCCTCCATCTGCTTCCCTGAGGTCTCCCCTGTTTGCTTCAGTGTTATGAGAGAAGGGAAGACGTTCTCCACTTTCTAACACCTGGAATCTGGCTTACCATAAGTGATGGTAGAATCCCTTTTTCTGGGGTTATTAATTTTTCTAGGATATTAATTCTTTCGCTTGTCATTTTTGAGACACTGGATTATCTCTGCGATAAAAGCAGAGCATATGAGAAGCAGATATGTTCCATCTTGAGTGGTTGAGGTACAATCTTCCAGATGGCTTTGGAATAGGACTCCTTTTCTCCCTGGTGATTAGCTATGCTAATTGATGAGCATTGGAAGTTCAACAGTATCCAGAAAGCCATACATTTTGGTAGGCCCTAGGATTGTAGATCTGAGAAGTTAACAGTGCATTTGAAACTCACAAAGCATGTCTTTAGCCCTGTTAACTTCTCATCTTCATCCTCAGTTGAGTTCTTGGTTTGATCCCTAAAATTAAAGCCCATGGTTCCGATTGGTAGTTCCACAACATCTGGAGAGCCATAGGTTCCCCACCCCTGTTCTATGTTTTGAATGCACAAGGCCAGAGGCTAGAAGCTATGAACCAATCCACAGAATTTCCACCGAGGGAATGGGCTTTGAATGTTGCACCACGTTCGACGTAATATCAGCATTCCAAATACTTTGGTTAAATTGAAGCTGGTTTGTGTTCCCGTTTCTGTTTTGTTAAGATTTGAGCCTCGTGAGCAAACTTCCTTTTATTCTCCCTTTTTCTCCTTCACATGTTGTCTTAGCTCACGCAAGCTTTAGCGATTTTTTAATGTGCATTCTCTCTTTTGAGAGCATATGTGAATAGTAATTTTCTACATATGCTATTTTTGGGATGTATCTTTTTGAAGCATAAATAATAAAGACAACAGCAGGAAAAAAAAAAGTGTGTTGGATTTTTTTTTGCGGCTGTTTCTTTTTTCCCCTCCTTGCCTTGACTACAGTCAGCAAATAAGATGTCACAAAGAATCAGGGACTCAGAGCATCAAGTTCTTTGAAGAATATTTACCTTCATAATAAGATACTGCAAGCAATGCCAGTCCTTGTTGTAAAAGAGACTTTGATACAAATAGGTGTTTTAACCAAGGGCTGGAGTAAATGGAGTAAAACTGAGAATGAAATTTCTCTTAGTCTAATGTAACCTATACAAAGGAGAATATTTTAAGTGGCCCTCACTGTGTCTCAGCAGCTTTCGTGTCGTTTTTATTTCTTACTAGCTGATGACACGCCGTGGCCCAGGTATTTATAGACGTCGAAGCGTTTGTCTGACAGGGGCCTTTCGTCCCCTTACTCCCATGCCCATCATCCCTGCCCTCTTCCTTCCCCCTCCCATGCGCTCCTCTTCCCCATCCTGGCACCTTTCCACAAATCCGTCAGGCGCTTCACCATTGGTCCAGTGGAGGGCAAACGTCACGGGTGGCTTTCCAGAGGAAGCTGCGAAGGAACTGACATCACAAACAATTGCCGCTCTAGGACGTCACACTCGCTCTCCTTAACGGCCCAGGCTCTCCCTTCTCCCATCCATGACATCACAAGCAATTGCCACTCTAGGATGCCATGCTCGCTCTCATTAACGGCCCAGGCATTCCAGAGTTATGCTGAAACTGCACACACAAGCGCACACACACACACACCAGGGATGCCCCCCCCCCCTGGTATTTGTCTCCAGAGAGTAAGTCATCTGTGTACCAAGTTTGCTTGAAATTGCTCAAGGCGTTTCAGAGTTACGCTGGAACATAAATACACACACACACACACACACAGAGCATATAGATAAAACAGAAGAGGTGATTGAACCCTTCAAATCTATATCCTAAAAGAATAATATGTGATCAGAAGTTTATATGTGTACTAGGAATGGGCAACCAAATTTAGCTGTCCCTACACCATGAATCAAGGATAAAACCTGGGGGGGGGGACTTTTTTGGGCATAGAAAGATGGATGAGGAGTCATGTTCTCTGACATTTTAGAAAGTACAAACTCCCATCATGTCCCAGAACAGGAATTCTAAGAGTAAGCAATAAAACACAAGGAGCAACAGAGCACAATCCATGGACTACATTATTTTAAAGAATAGAGCATGATGATGTGGCCAAATGGTTAAAGTTGAGTATAGTATAATTAGTCCTTGACTTTTGACCCAAATGGGGACCAGAATGTCCATTGCTAAATGACACAGTTTTAAAGGGTGATATGGCATCACTGTATTGCTTAGTGACCACAATCCCTGCCGTCGTAACTCCAGACGCATGGGTTGTTAAGCAGGAAGTGGTCTGTGTCCCAGGTAAGGAGCATGGGATGTATTGAGGGATGTGGGAAGTCCTGGGCAGGCTCTACGTGTGTTATAACTGAATAAAATATACTTTTACTGAAACTCAATTACAAAAGCAACAGGTTGATGCACTTTGACCAAACGGTGTATGGTATATTATCTTACTATTCTGGCAATAAAAGACTCAATTCAAAAGCTGAGAGTACACAACCTTTTGTATCTGACATATCAAAGATCACACTTATTTCCAAGATCACACTATTCTTTCCTACATTAATCCAGACTCGATAGATCCCAATTTTTCATAAATCAAAGGATAGTGTGTACATTAAATAAATAAATAGGCTAATTCCAAAATTTGAATTCATATACTTCATCTTTGGGACAATCATGACCTGGATGGCTAAGAATCTCCATGGACATTTTAACTTCAGTGACTGGAATTTGAGTGAATTGGGTGGAAGACACTTGGGTTCAAATCTGTCAGGATCATGTGGCTGTAGATTTGGATCTCTTGGATCTCCGTGCTTTCTGTCTTTAGTCTTAGAAGGAGTTGACCTTCCTCCTTTGAGACTGATTATAATCTTTAACAGTTTTTGACTTGCAGCTCCTGCTGAAAAAGGACAGTTGTGGCCCAGAGGATCTTTGCAGCTTCGTGTGGTGTGCCAGTTGCATCCATTCCTGGATAGGCACTCTTCCAGATGGTCACTCATGCCCTGGTCATCTCATCACAATCCCAAGTGCTCTACATGAGACTGCCCTTAAAGTCTACTTAGAAGCTACAGCTGGGCACTGGGAATGCCCAGATGCTTACATGACCTCTATATACCACTTACTTCTATGTGAACTCAAGGTGCTTTAAAACCCTATATGGCATAAGGCAAAGGTAAAGGTTCTCCTCGCACAACGTGCTAGTCGTTCCCGACTCTAGGGGGCGGTGCTCACCTCCGTTTCAAAGCCAAAGAGCCAGCGCTGTCCGAAGGCGTCTCCGTGGTCATGTACATAGTCGGCATGACTAAACGCCGAAGGGGCACAGAACACTGTTACCTTCCCACCAAAAGTGGTTTCCTATTTGTCTACTTGAATTTTCACATGCTTTCGAACTGCTAGGTTGGCAGAAGGTGGGACAAGTAACGGGAGCTCACACCGTTACACGGTGCTAGGGATTCGAGCCGCCAAACTGCTGACCTTTCTGATCAACGAGCTCAGCGTCTTAGCCCCTGAGCCACTGCGACTAGTTATTTGAGGGATTTCCTGTCTCCCACAGTGTCTGTCCTGTAAGATCTGCCGTTCTTGGTTATCTCCTAATTCCATCAATTAAGCAATATCATCTAACA